CTCGTCCCGGGAGCATTTCTTCTGGCACTGTTCCCTCCTCCCGATAACGAGCTCCAGTTGCTGCAGCCGGATGCTTTGCTGCCTCCACTCCCTGCCCAGCCGGAAGAGCTGCGGGCGGAGGAAGGAACAAAGCGGGCATCAGGGCACAGAGCGGTGAGCGGCCCTGTGCGAAGTGGCCCTGCGGATGCACAGGCTGGGCATCTGCGGGCCCCGATGCAGGGACAGGCGGAGCCCCATCCTCCAAGGCACACATGCTGGGTATTGCTATAGGGTCTCACCCGCTGACCACCGCTGTGAGACATGTGTGCATCCCTGATCACCCATGTGTGCACACTCGTCCCCAAGACACACGTGGGGGCCACGCTCCCAGCCACAAATTGCAGCGTGTGCAGAATCCACCAGATACACGCACCCACCAGGCCAACAGCCCCCAGCCCCACCCCTCACCAGCCCCACAGCCCTTCCCAGCCCCAAAGACGCCGGGTTACTCACAGCCCTACCTGTCTCCTCACTCCCTGCAGCTGCCCCAGGACGGCAGGATTGGGCTCCAGGAGCAGCAGCAACCTTTCCTCCCTCTTCAGCTTCTTTTCAAGTCTCTGGCTCGCCCGCAGGGCCACTTGGGTGCTCTGGCGGAGCCTGTGGAAGTGGCCCAGGTCACTGATGCTCTGCCAGGGGACATGGGACAGTGCCCTGAGCGCAGGGCCGTGACGGGAAAGGACTCCCGCTCCCCACTTGGAGGATGCTAAGGTGCTGGCAAACCCCTGCCAGCCTCTGTGTCATCGGCAGCAGCCGCCTGCCAGCTCCGGGCCCCGGCAGGCAGCTGCGTGGCCCAGGAGGGATCGTACCCAGAGCCCGTGACTGCAGCCTGGCACAGCAAAGGGGAGGACTGGGGCACCATCAGCTCCTGGGCACTGGGCCCAGGTCACCTGTGTCTTGTGCTCTGGGTACGGGCCCAGGAGGGAGATCTCCCAGGCTCCATCACTGGCTCTGCCACTCACCCCGAGTGCCCTTGGGCAAGTCCCTCCGACAGCCCCTGCCTCAGTTTCCCCATCACTAAAACCCAGCAGGCTCAAGCACTTGGAGACGCCCAGACACTGCAGCCAGAGGAGTTCTCGCCTGGCCTTTCGGGGCTCCCGGGGACCTCGGTGACTCCTCTGCCCTTGGGGGCAAGGATGTCCGGCCATTCAGCAACTGTACTATAACTGCCCGCATGGCAGAGCCGCTGGCAACAGATCCGGCTCTGCGGATGCCTCCTGGGCACTCACTCGGGTCTTGTCCCAGGGCTCCTGGCACCGGAGCAGCTCCTCCTCCGCGGGGTCCCAGTACATGCGGGCTCTCATGGTGCCCTTCGAGCTGGCGGGCGGTGGCTGGGGATTTCCGGTCCCTTGCTGGGCTTCCACCGGTGGGAGCTGCAGAAGCATGGCAGATCGCTTAGCAGAAACCAACCTCCCCCGGGCGAGAAGCAAGCCCCCGGCAGGACGTGGGAAAGCCGCAGGGGCTCGTCCAGCTCAGTGCCGACCCAGGGCCCAACACCCAAGTCCCCCTGGTCTGCTTCGCGGAGGAGCAGGCAAGAGCGAGCGGCATCGCTGCTCCCCGAGGGAGAGCTCTGCGAATTCAGCGGCCAGGCGCCGAGACGGCCCGAAAAAAGGTTGTGGGGGAGCTTGGGGCGACGTCCTGCATCAGAAAAACACTCCAGCAATGGGGAGAGAGGGACTCAGATTGCAAGACTTGGCAACCAGGGGGAGCAGATGTGAGACAACTCCCAGCAAGTCTCTTACCTGCGCGGTCTGGGAGCTGCTCCTTTCCTCCACGTCCCTGTGGCCAGGGGACTTAGGAACTAAGCGGGTTATGATTAACATGGCAGGCAACTGGGTCCTAATAATGCTAGTAACTAACTGTGCTAACTACCTACTAACTACACTAAAACTAAGACTAATTCCTAACACTGCTAGTGCTACTGACACTAATAACTAAGAATACAGACAACGGAGCACTAAGGAACAAAACCCAACCACGACTACGATGCAACGTGTGAGCCCACTAACTCAACTAGTCTCAGCCGTGTCGACCACAGAGTGACCAGGACAAATCCTTGGCTCTGCTTTTGTCTCTGCCCCAGCACCATCGTCGCGGCAATGTGATGACAGAGAGGACGCGCGTCACAAAGCACCTGAGCCAGGCCCGGTTCAAGCGTAGCTGGGCAGGGGCAACTGGGCCAGGTCCTCCAGCCAAGGCACTACCAGAGATTGCCATGGTGTTTAGGGGTCTCAGGGGGGTCCTATTGCATCCTAACCCCCTAGCAATGCAGAGCCGCAGTCCCTCCTCCTCTCCGATGCTTTATTATCCCTTAGTTGGACAAGCAACATTGATGTGCGAATGGCTGCAAGTTGGAGTAGGATTAAAAGGAGATGCCCAAGCACCACAACCAATGGGTTAGTTAACTCAATGGGTTAACTCATGACCCTTCCCAAACTCAGCCTTGGCTGTGGATCAGGCCCCGCGTTGAACATCCAGCCTCAGCAGTGCCCAACCCAGGGGACAGGGGCTGGCCTGCAAGTTGTCCTTCCCTTCACATGTCTAAGGGGCAGTCGGCCTCTGCCACGCAGCTCCAGAAAGGCTCCTTGGGGCGGCCGAGCCGGGGATGGTCTAAAGCAGCAGGAGATGCCCCCCGGGAGGACAGGACTGCAGGGTGTGAGCATCGTTAGGTGTCAGCATTATTTAGCCATTAGTAGCCCCTAGTGTTAGGAATATCCTTGGTTTATAAGGACGCTAACCCAGGGACCACGGAGGGAAGGTGACGTCCACGGACAGTGCGAAGACGTGCTTGCTGGGCGCTTGCTTTCACTGCCGATGCTTTGGGTCTGGCAAACTGGCTCTCTCTCTCCCCCTTGTCGAAGCGCTTCTCCAACAAGGACCATTGTCCGGGGCTGTGCGTGCTCCTGCACCTCCTGTCCCTTGTCTCCCCTTGCCGTGCACTGTGCAGGATCGCTTCTGCCTGCTCTTCTCCTTAGAGGATCGCAGACAGTGAGGGCTGGAAGGGACCTCAGGAGGTCGCATCCAGTGCAACCCTCTACAAACAACAGGGCCATCCGTGACTACATCGTCCCACTCCGGGCTTCGTCGTGCCTGGCCCTAAACACCTCCAAGGATGAAGCTTCTCCCACCTCTCCGGGCTCCCTCCCTGAAGCCCTGGGGCCAAGCCAGGCAGCTCCAAGCATGAAAACCTACCTCCTGCTTAGTTCAGGCTCTTCTTTGGTGGCCACAACACCCTGTCCCCATCACACGCCCTGTGACTTTATCAGGCTCTGTATTTGATGCAGGATATTATTTTACATAGTAGTTAGTAATTATGCATAGTTAATGACATTCTCTCCCTTTAGGACGTGTAATTCATGAATAAGCAGCTTTTTTTTCAGTAGAGCTTAGCTTTGAAAAAGAAACAGAATAAGGAACCAAAAATAAGGAACTGGGAATAAGCAACAAACTTCAGCCTCGTGCTCAGCCCCAGCTGCCGGGAAGAGCCTGGTACTCCCTGGCCCCAGCCCGCAGTGGCAGCCCGCCCTCGTCCTGTGCACAGATCCCGGACATCTGCCCCCCCCCCCTCCCCAGGGCTCCGTCCCACGTGCCACCCCAGCCCCACTCCCGCCCTAAGTGTGGGGGCCTCAATCTGCACCCCTCCCCCCCCACAGCAGACTTACCAGCCCAACACCGCTCTCCAAGCTGCCGGGCTGCATATCGGCAATCAGCTCTGCATCAACCGCTTATGGCTCGGAAAAAATCGGCCATCGGTATCGGCCCAAAACATCTCTATCGGTGCACCCCTACTTCCAACCTCTCCCCCAGGCTCGGGATCCCTTCCCCAACCCCAACCCCCCCTCCTGCTGCTCCTCCACCTCAGCCCCCCAAACCCATCCCCCGCATCCTGCCCCTCTCTGCAGCCCCCACCAAGCACCTTCCCCTTCCTCCCCGCCTGGACACCCCAGCCCTTCCCGCACCCGCATCCAGCCCCAGCTCCTGGCCCCTTCCCCACCACCTCCGGCCCCTTCACCCCCACACCCACTCCACCCCTGCCCCCCGCCAGAGCAGGATCATTCACAGCTGTCTCTCTTGCCCCTTCCAAGCCCCCAGCAGCACTACGTCGTGGGCCAGGGGCAAGCAGAGAGCGGGGGATGGGGGTCAGGGCCACTGGAGAAGAAGGCCACGTGGGAGGAGAAGACCACGTCTCCTCCACTGTGAGTACAGAGGGGGGCTGGAGAGTTCAGGCCCTTGGGCGTAGCTGCGGGGTGGCAGGGGACTCAGGGCAGCTTGGGCAACTGGGGGCAACTGTGGGAGGGGCTGGGGGTAACTGCGGAGCAGCAGCTTGGGGGACTGCGGACAGCTTGGGGGACTGGGAGAAACTGGGACCACCTGAAAGGAGGCAGAAGCAGGCCGAGAGCCCAAGCATTTAGGGCGCTTGTACACAAGTGCAGAGGCTGCGCCAATGCGCTGCAATTACAGCACGTCAGAACAGACTCAAGTAATCACGTCTGCTGCAGCGTGCCCGTTAGCATGCCCCAGCGAGCCCCCGCTCCCGTCCCATTTATCAGCATCCCCCACCCCAGGCACTTCGACTGAAGCTCGTTTGACCGGCTTCCACTAGAGCCCCGCCACCATGGGGTTTTGAAGCGGAGGATGCTGATACATAAGACATTGCAGGGCTTTATTTAAAGCAGCTCTTGAAGCCACTCTAATTCATTAAAGTGCCCCCTCCCTCCCAGAGCACGTGTAAAAAGGCCCTTACTTGCTTGCCCCTTAACACCCAAGAGCAGAGGTTGATCCCCCAGTCCGGCGCCCTGCCCGCCACAGCCCGGGGCAGACCCCCATCCCGCCGGGGGCTGCAGAGGCGGGAGGTGCCGCAGACGGGCACCAGGTCTGCTTGAACTGGCCGAGTTCTCCAAACTCCCCCACAGCCCACGCCCAAGACGCCGGGTTTCCTGCTCTAGTCAACGACCTCGGATGGGTGCAATTTCTATTTATTTCTCTCTTTTGGAGCTGGACGGCAGCAGATCTCTGGTGCACTTGGAAGGCGTCAGTCCGCTGGGATTTATATCCCTGGGAAAGAGGGAGGGTCTTGTACCTCCTGTCCTTCCCCAGGGTGCAGCGCTGGTCCTGCTCCTTCTTTACCTTCATGGTCTTCTCTCCCAGGCTGTTTTAGTTCTTACAAATTATTGAAGCATTTTCACATGAATATCTCTGTTATAGCAAAATAACAGTAAATAATTTGGCTACTTAAATAAGAGCTAATGCATTTGCTCACATCAATCAGTACGACTATGACTAGAGTCCCATGCGGGTCTGATTGTGACGGCCTGCTTCTGATCTGCACCCGACATTACAAAACTGACCCTGAACCTGCTTTGGCAACTCTTTCTACCTGCAGACCAACCTGATCTTCTGGAGGCAAACTCGCAAACCAATTTGCCCTCCCAATACCCAAAACAAGCGAGGTTTTTGCTCAACCCTCCAAGCTGCTCCCTGGAGGCCCAAACTGCGTCAGCCCCCAGGTACACACGGTGCAAGAGACTCCACCCAGGCAGAGGAGCTTAATGAGGGTGGTCGTCGTCTTCTTCCTGCGCGGCCTCATGGCCCCATCTCCTGTCTCACGAAGAGGGGGCAACGCACTGCAGGAAGCAGCAACTAGCAAGAGACTGGGACGCATTGGAGGATAATGGGAGGCACTGGGCAGACACAGCGGTGACAGGGGAACCTGGCACAAGATTGGGACACAGTGGGGGAAACTGGAGGGAGCTTTGGCATACTGGGAGGCATTGGAGAATAACGGGGGACACAGTGATAGGGGAACTTAGCAGACTTGGATGAGCTGGCGGACACTGGGAGGCACTGTGGCATACTGGGAGGCACTGGAGGGACATGGTGATAGGGGAACATAGTGGGGGACTGGGATGCACTGGGGGATACTGCCAGGCACTGGCGCATACTGGGAGGCATTGTGGCATACTGGGGAGCACTGGGTGGAGACTAGCAGCTGTCTGCCTCTTACAAGTTGGTTCTGATCTTTTCCATTCCTCCCCCTCCCCTCCCCAGCCCCTTCCCCAGGTTCCTGCTCTTGCTCTCCTGCCCCACTGCCCCAACACCCCCGTGTTTCCTGGCACCCCAGGCAGCTGACCAAGAGAGCTGTCCCTGCGCCAGCCACCGCCCCCTCTTACCATGGGCCCGCTGGAAATTCACCTCCACGTTGTTCCCACTGATGTTGGCCATGATCCCAGCAGCCGCGAGCAGGGTATTGGGCCTGGGAAGTGACCCCAGCTGACTTCCTGGCCCTGGGGCTGGACTCGATGATCCTCCAGGGTCCCTTCCAGCCCGAATGTCTATGACATCTATGAAACTTCTGGAGGTTTCTTCACCAATCTTCTGCCCTAAAGAAAATGAAAAGGCAGTGAAAAACCAGCCTGACAAGTGTCCTGACCACCACCACCAGCCTATCGGCACGTTGAGAGAGAGAGAGAGAGAGAGCCGGCGACCCCTCTCGACTGGACATCACCTTGAAGGAGCCTGTGACTGGCCATCGCAGTGTGACTCCACAAGCTGCAGATAGATGACTTAGTGTGAGTGGTGTGCTGCTAAATCGTCTGACTCAGTTGCCCACTACTATGCAATAAACCCTGGTTTGCTGAACCCACGTGGTGGTTTAATGTCCAACATTATTTGCTGGAGAATGCGAAAGGGGCAATGGTAGTCTCCTGTGACTCTCAGTAAGTCCGGCATGCTGCCTTGTCCCTCCTAATAAGACTCCTGCATAGAAAGCAGGCAACCTGAGCAATTATTGTCTGGTATATAGGACAACTGAAAGGACCTTTATGGAAGAATGAAGATTTCAGAACTCCTTTGATAGAAAGGGGCATATCCCAGCAGGGGGATTAGGATTATAGGACTCCTTGTATTAGGAAAGGGGTATATCCCAGAAGGGAAAACTGACTGGGGTTGGAACTTGGTACCCTCTAAGGTAGAGCGGGGAGGGTGCAGGAACGGGGAAGATGTTCAAGAGGAAATCTAACTCTGGAGAAGGAATCACCCTCCAATCGGGTGCAGAATTAGGAAGTGCCCAGTCTCAAAAAAGAAATTATGGAAGGGGCGACCTCATCCTGGAGGGTGGATGCTTGTCTCTCACACCTGGAAGATCAGTTTGAAAAGTATTGTATACGTGAAAAGCCATCTGCTCCGAGGCAACACAGCGCTGCTGTGTGGCTTTTTTGGCAAGCAGTTAAAAAAGCAATAGAAGAAACATCAAGACAAGCAAGGAAGATCAAAGAGAAGCAAGCAGAGAAACAGGTTCAGGAGTTGAAAAAACCCCTCACTGTCTGTTAAAGCTTTGCAGGTGACTGTTAGACAAAAGACAACAACGGAGAAGAGGAATGAGTTAACAAACACGTGGAAAGTTAGAGAGCAAAGCAGTGCAGAGATTGATGGATGCAAGGGCAGGCAGGAGGGGCACAGCCAGATCTACCTCAGTTGGTACAGCCTTCGCTACCTCCCAATCCCCCGTAGGGAAGGAATACTTTACTCCAAGCACCCAGGGGGACTAGTAGGATAAATTTGTTTCAACTACTAGGGGTGCCCAAACATGCAAGGTTTAGTGGGAGATATGGGAAATATGACCCCCCCCCCAATGCTGATTGACACTGGAGCCTTGATCAGCATGTTTTGTAACAGCGCTGGGTCCCAAATGGGGTTATGGTGTACCCCAAATCATTTACAACAGCAATCTTATACTGGAAAGTTAGAAAACTCACTGGTTAATAAGGAGTGAAAATTGCTAGAGAAACGTGCAGTACAGAAAGATAAGCGGAGGAGAGAGCGAGAATGGGATTTTAGGAATGACTGCTTTATAGCAGAACGAAACATAGCAACCTCGAGAGAGCTGTCATTTGGTCTCAGAGATCGTCCAAGGTGTTTACACACAATCATTTTTATTGCTGGTCTGATAAGAGGTCAGCAGCAGAAAAAATTACCCCCTGTGCTGGAAACTATGTAAAGTTTGTAATAAAACTAAAAGTCTAAGGAGTCTAGTGAGTGAGCAGCTTCGCAAGAAATACAGTGTGCAAGCAGTGCTGCATGTGCTCTCTGACAGGCGACACAACTCCAGGGAGCTTAAACACAGGTAAAGGAAAAGCAGAAAGGGTCCGGCTCTGTCAAAAGTCAGGAACAGTGGATGTAAAACAGATTTTGTAATCCTATGTGCCCCGGTGCCTAGCAAAATAAAAGGAAACACAGGTGAAATGAGCTACGCTACTGGAGCCCCGCATGTTCTGTTTTGTGGCTTTGCAGAAATTGTGCGGACATGTAAGGTAGAGAGGGACTGTTAAAAGTAATCTGTGTGCGCCCTTAGGGGTAACAGAAAGTAAGAAAAGTGAGGTATGTCCAAAACTAGTGTGGGTATAGCGTAGGTATCCCAGAAAGGAAAGTATTAACAGCTTGTTAAGGCAAGAAAAAAAAAAAGATGTTTCTGAAAACTCAGTGCCAGCTATTAAGGCTCTTGCTGTAATTAATAGGGTTAATCAAAACAAGTAAATGAAGGCATTTCTTAAGGCACAGGCAGAAAGAGTTAAATGTGGCAGAATATAGGCAAGTGTTTCAAACGAGGAATCAAACTTTCCCCCATAAAGGCAGTGTAAATATTTATTAGAGGCTAAAATAAAATTATAACTTATAGTAGATCGTTTGTTAAGCTAGGAAATGATTGTGTAGATGTTTAATATGCGTAACTCCCCAATTTTAATCTGTTTCGAGGGCTAACAGAAAAACCTGAAAACTAACAATAAACTTCAAACCTTTGACTGCAGTAACAACTCTTGTAGCTCCTGGTATAGCACAATCCTCTGCCATTCCAGCAGCTACAGCAGGAGGGTAAAATGATTACTGATATTACATTTGGCTAATATAACGTTTTGGTTATTTCCTTTGCACAAAAATGCTGCTATAATTTGGAATTGATATTTATGGGAACAATACTATTGTTTTATCCAAATACCTTAAAGATTTAATCATGTCCCAGCAATAAGACTATGGAAAAAGCTTTCTAAGTAAAAATTCTGACCGAAAAAATGTCCCTGAAAAAAAACAACGTATTTTTAAAATGGTAATTTAATTAAATTGTAAGAAGGGTATTGGCATCCCTTAATTTCACATTTGAAAAGAAATTGTAAAGGTCCCCATTCCAATTGCCAAAATGGTGCAATGAACCACTGCAAACAGTAAAATAAATGTAAATAATCCTTATCATGTAATATGTATATACAAGAAAAACACGTCAGCATTGTAAATTTATAAATATGAATAATATTTTACTGCAAGGAGTTTTCCTTGGCAGGTTGGTGTGTGTTTGTTTTCTTGTGCAGAAGCTATAGCGTAAAATTCAACCCAGCAGCAAAGGTGACTGATAAACCATGAAGCCTCACCATTGCCATCACCTAAGCCAGGGCTTTATTTTACCACCACAGCAAAAATGGTTTTGTCTGTTCTGTGTTGTTTGGCTTATTGTGTGGTTTTCGTGTATTTGTCTGGTTTGTTTTAAGTTGTCAAAAGTTTAAATGCAGATGAAGATCATAAAGATGTAATGACATTATTGGAAATAAACCATCTAAAAATTACATTGGTCTGCGGATCCCAGACCTGGGCACTTCCGTCCAACCTGGACCAGAAGAATGGCCTAATCTTTGGGTGGATATGAAAGTAACTCCAAAAGCACATGCCTTAAAATTTAAATGAACAGAACCGTATTATACTACCAGTAAAATTCATCCTATGGTGATCTAAATTAATAAAGGAAAAAGGCATAAGTGGGTGCATACTTCCCAGTTAAAATCAGTAAATTAAGCATAATAAAATAACATTGTTGTTTGCATTATAGTAGGCATTAAGCTATAGGAACAGGCAATGATACTGTAAAAGTATCCAGAATGCTGTGGATCCTGTTGGAAAAATCAGGAGGACTCTTAATTATAATACTAACAGTCGTATTATTAAAATTAATCATAAAAGTGAGTACAACCCAACCATTTCAAGTGTGTTCAGGCCTGAGTCAAGAATATAATGATCCCTACAATAGGTCCTTCATAGTAGATGTAAATATGGGTGTGTTTGTTTAAGAACTTGGTGTTTGTAGTTATATATTAACCAATAGTATTATTTTAACTAAATTTAGCTGTCAATGTGTGTTTATGTAATGTTTTGTCAATAATAGGATGTAACATTAATTATAAAAAAAGGAAATAGTAAACCAGAGCTTTACAACTGACTATAAACTATTTGAAAAAGTAAATTTATATCTAGTAAGCTTTAAAATGTCAGCAGGGGTTTTCCACCACGTGACACAACATCGAAAGTTAGTGCATGCTGTCAACATCATGCAGGAAAAAGCTATAAAAACCCATACCACAGTGCAAGTCAACTCCAAACGCATATCCAAGGTTTTAACTGAGGCAAAAAAAAATAACATCACAGCTGGTGAAAAACCGTTTGGCTGGTTATCATCAGTCAATGGAATATTTAATTAGATGTTATAGCCAGTCATAGTTGTGTGTTGTGTTTGTGCTGTTAACTTTGCTAGTTATTATTTTGTATTGTATAAATTAAATGTAAAAATTACAGAAGCCAAAAAATGGCAACACGTGCTTTGAAAGGATACCCTAATAAATTGGGTATCAAAGGGGGGAAATGTTGGAATATGTTATATCTATGCCATTATGGTTTAAAATATGTTATGCTGCAACTTTGCTAATGTTAAACTTATACTGTGATTTATGCTTATGAATACTTATGCTAAGCAAGCCATTCGCTTATGCTAAGTAGCCATCTTAACCGTGTCAACCATTTGCCGAAAAAGCAGCAAGTGAATCTGTGTAAGTCTGTGTGCTGTGAATGAGGTGGGAGTAATGGCTGAATGGCGGCTGGTACGAACCAGCTACAGTAAGTAACAAGATAAGATACAGGGGTCTTAGGAATGTGGAGATGGTACACCCTGGAATAGTTCGAGACACCGTCTGACGATGCTGGACCGGCCGTACCAGACGACACGGGGGTCGACACAGGTATGCATGGGGAAGCGACGCCGCCTAAGTTAGGTGATGCACTCAAGGTCACGCGGGAAGTCTGTAGCGAGGCCGGGGAGCGGCTCGAGGCCTCCTGAGTCTGCATTCATTGACCTCCCAGAGACCATCGTTGCTGCCCTGCCTACCGTCTCCCATGCAGCGCTGCACGACAGAGATAGCTAGCGCCTGACCTTCAAGCACGACAGTCTGCAGAGCTTGGATCCCGTCACGCTGGGGATCAGTGCCCCATCCTAACACACACCTTCCTGGCACACACGGCGTGGTCGCTCTGCTTGTAGACGCCTTTGTGGCTAAGCGCCAGGGCTCAGCCATTACCAGAGCGGGCTGGGAATCCCAAGGTATTTCCCTGTACAAAATCAAATCCTGTCCACACCAGAGGCTTGTTTCTTGAGGAAGGGCATTGGCCTAAATGTCCTTTGCAGACACCCTTGCTTTATTCTTCTGTATTAAGTGACTGCTCTCTTTTCTCCACAGCAGCTGGTGCCAGCGGGCCAAAAAAACAGTCTTCCTTCCTTAACAACATCCCGAATGCCCTGGCCAGAGCGCGCTCGCTCCTGTCACGTTGCCTACCGCGCCCCAGGAAATTGCGGGAAATCGCACCTGGGACCGTACCGACACGTTACATTTGTGGTAGGAAAAATACAACTGCCTATCGTCCCTCCCCAGTGCCGGCGCTCCCGCGGGCGAGGACGCGCTGGATTTCTAGCGGTGACAGCCCCGCCGCGGGCCCGTGGAGCGGAGCGGAGCAACCCGCCCCCCGAACCAACCCACCAGTCACTCACTGCTCGCGGGCGGGACGTCAGAGCTGCGGGCGGTTGGCTGCACGTGCCGAGTCGCGGGGGCGGGGCCAGCTCGAGCGGAAGGGGCGGGGCCTGGAGCACGCGCAGTGCCACAAAGGGCCAGAGCACTCCTTGAGACAACGTGGAGGTGTCACCTAGCAAGGGTGGGGGATTAAAACCAGCAGATAATGCCATTTGGAGGGGGCCTCATTCTCCCCCTGCAATCACTGGGTCATCAGAAGGCCCCTGAAATCAGAGGTGCTGACTCGTCCTTCCCCGCGCCAGTACAGGGAACAGCTGTCTGAGTCTTTAGCTACGGCGCCGGGGGTGGAGCTCAGGCTCTCTAAGCAGAAAAGCAGCGTGGCACAGCTGCTGGAGGGGAGCAAACCCCCAGGACTGAGGACCTGCTGGTGGCCCTGACCCTGCTCCCCCTTGGGAGCTCAGGGCCACCAGGGGCCACCTATGAGCTGCTGCACAGTAGCGTCACGGTTCGTGCCCCGCATGCTATGTTGCCATAGCTCATTGCTACTGCGACAGCTTTTCACGTAGCTGTGCCCAGGGAGTGGCTGCTGAAAGGGAGAGTGAACAGGGCACGACCAGGGATTTTTTTCCCCTACTATTCCTTTCTTTCCTCCAGCATTTAAGATCCAGGTAATTCGAATTCAGAGGCTGTGCCCCTAACTTCTGTGTCTGCCACTTGGTCGCTTGGGGCACCTATAGACATGCCGCCAGCCTGCTCTGATGTACTGTCATTACCAGGGACCCAGGTTTTCCATTTCCCATGGAAAGATGGAGTTAACCCCGGATGTTATCTTTTACCAGGGGCAAACATGGATTTCTTGTTTAACAAGACAACCCCGTGGATTTTGCCTGCAGGCTGGCAGAGCTGTCTGGGGTGGGAGGGGGGCAGCGGGCAAGCCCCACTGGGGATGCAGCCCAGTCTACACGGGGGACTGCCTCCTCCCCAGGCAAACCCTGGTGGGGTCTGGGGCCAAGGAGGTGCGTTACCCTGCTCAAACTTCCTGCTGGCTGCAACCATGGTCTACAAATCCCAGAGGCACCTGGAGGCAGGAAGAGGAGGTGATGAGCAAGCCCCAGCACTACAGTGAAAGGCAAACCCCCACAGCCCGTACCAGTCTGACAACCAGGGAGAATCCCCTCCTGACCCGTGTGGCAGCAGCGATGCTCCGAAGCATGAGAAATACCCCAGGATGGCAAAGGCGGAGCTATTCCTAGTCATCCCTGACAAGGCTTATCTTCATTTTCTTGAATACCTCCAACGAATGAGAGCCCACAACTCTCCTAGGCAGTCCACCCCACCGCCTCGCTGATGCCCTGTCACTGATGAGCTGATCACTCCAGAGGAAATCTCCAAACGACATCTCTCTCAAGCAGCCCAGTCCAAGGCAGCAACGGGGTCACCGCTGCCCCTCTGAAGCGACTCAATCGGCCCCTCTCTCAGCGCAAGATGTAGGCGAAGAGTAAGACAGAAGCGAATCCTTTTGATGACTGACCCGGGTAAATTCAAAGCTCAGAAGAGCCTGCCACAACAACCCGGTTCAATCCTTTGCCTTCGATTCCTGGGGTGCAGTGACACACCTCGGGATCCTCTATGAACCTTGGCCTGTGTCTGGGTTGCTCTGCCGCTCCGGGGGGACGCAGCGTCCTGCCCCAGCGAGCCCTCGCCGGCCCATCCCCACAGACCACACGAGGTCACCTGGCGAGGCCCAGGCTGTGCCGTGGCTGGCCACCTTTCGACGTGTGCAAGGAGGGTTTCTAGCGCTCGTCCCGCGGTCTCAGCGCATCGCCCTTGAGCAGACGGTTCGTGGCAGTGTCCAAGGTCCAGGCCCTGGGCACGGAGAGGACGGACGGGGGTTGGAGGTTGTCAGCAAGGACGTGCTGGGGTGGGACGGGGCGGGGCAGGGCGGGACGGGACGGGACGGGACGGGGGAACGGTCTGAAGGGTGGGCTGGTTTCCACGGAGCAGGGTGTGATCCTGCCCTCTGTTATTCCCCGTTCGTGGCGTCGCAGAGCAGCGCGGTAAGGGCAGCCTGCTGCGCCGTGCCTCGTGGTGATGCGCGAGCCGGAGCGGCGTCCCGGCGTCCGTGTGACGGTTGTCATCGGAGCAAGAGGAGGCAGCTCTCAGGTACGGTGG